ATTTAGTCGCACTCAATTCCCCCAATTCTCTTGAAAATTGCCTTAAATTTCACTCCAGAATAATCTGTCACCTCCAAAACAATGTGCTAACACTCGATAATTTTTACCCAATAATTTTTTTCCCACGAATATGAAAAATTTGAGCTTTAAAATGAAAAAGTTTATGAACCAGCATTCGAATTCTACGAAATCTGAATGAGGAAGACAATGGGTTTATGTTTGATTTGACATAATTGGTTGAAGGGAAGTAAATAAGGGCAGTAATGTAATTTCAGATATTTTTTTATAAAAGTTTATTTTAAAGTGTTAACCATGGTTAAATAATCAGGTTATATTATAATTAAGGTTACCATTTGATTATTAATTATAAGTGAGGTTTACCATTGATAATTAATTTTAAGATTGTTTACCACTTGTAAAATGGAGAAAGTGAAGTTCACCATTGAGAATTTCCCAAAAAAAAAAAAAAAAAAAAAAAAAACCAAACCCAAATTTGCTTGATTTGATTTTTTAAAACCATGCGTATCATAATTTCTATTATATAATATACTTCCTCTGTTCTTTTTTTATTGCACCATGAGAGATTTCACGCTTGTCAATGCATTTTTTTAACTATTAATATCTTCAATTATACTTTTGTAAAAATTATAAAAATTTGATATTTGAAAAGAATATTTCGGGACGAATCTAACAAGATCCCACATGACTATATTTTTTCGAATGAGTAAATCACAAATGATGGTCAAAGAAGATTAAGTGAATAGTGTAAAAGTCCTAATGGTGCAATAAAATAAAAACGGAGGAAGTAGTTTTTTAGTCTCCACATTTTTCTTATACATTTTCACATTTAATCTCCTAATTCATATGCATTAATAAAAGTAGCATATGGTCACGTGTGGCCGGTGTTGATTAAGTTGAATGTAATACTCACGTGTTTTCTCTTTGTAGTTTTTATTAAGGGATTTTATCACTGGTACCCTCAAAAATTTGACTTTTATCAATGGTGCGCCTCATTAAGTTTTCATTATCAGCGGTGCCCTTAATATTCTCATCTAATTGCTACAATGATCATATGTTATTAAAACATTAATTAAATGTTAACTGGGGTTTTTTTTTGGCTGGTTTAATGGGTTAGAAAAGTGTAAATACTCAAATGCCCCTACCCTAAAAACTCCCTCCAAAAATCAGTTTTCCTCCCCCCCCCCTTTTCGATTTTTCCCTCTTTCCTCTGTCTCCTATTTATTCTCTCTGCTGCTTTAGAATTCCCCTCTTCTCTTCTCTTCATTCCTCTTATAATCTCATACATTTCAATGTCTTCTTCTGGTCAGAAATTATGGTCCAGTCTTTCCTATTTAATTGCTTGACAATGTTGTACAAATTCCAAAGAAAGTATGACCAAAAGATTTTATACAAAATAATTCTCAAAATCAAGATTGAAGTTGAGTACTTATTAACCTTAATCCGCAATTTTTCAAAGCGATTCTCCACAAATCTTGCTTCAATTAGGGCTTTCTAGCGAGCTTAAGAACAGGGGAGAGAGTATGGAAGTTGGACGATCAAATTTTTTTGCCTTTTTTTGTGATAAATGATGTTAGTTGGGCTTGGAGGGAGAGTTAATGACTGGGGGGGGGGCATTATCGTAAACTCACTTGCTGACATATTCCACACAAAATACCCACACTTAACAATTCTTAAACGTTTTAATCAAATATGATCACTGTAGCAATTAGGTGAAAATATTAGGGGCATCGCTGATAATGAAAACTTAATGAGGTGCACCATTGATAAAAGTCAAATCTTTAAGGGTACCAGTGATAAAATCCCTTTTATTAATTGCGATCTAATTATAAGTAAATATTATCTATGTTTAATTTATATTAGATTTGTGGCTAGTGTTAATTGCGTTGAATGTGATACTCTTGTCTCTTTGTAGTTTTTATTTATTGCGATCCAATTTCAAGTTATTTAAACCTGTGTTTAATTCTTATTAGATTTGTGCCTGGTGTTGATTATGTTGGATGTAATAATCATGTGTTTTCTATTTGTAGTTTTTATTTAATGCGATTTAATTTCAAGTTAGTTAAATCTTTGTTTAATTTTTATTAGATTTATGGCGGCAGAGACTTCTTGAGTCAGTCAACTCACGTGATGTTTTTTTTTAACACTTTAGTTGAATTTACCATCAGAGCAACATGGTGTACAAAATTACTCGCAAAGATGGAACACCCGCGACAAGAATTCTGGTCAAGAATGATGAAAGTGTCAATGACTTATTCCCTCAAGGGTTGGTACCTAGAAGAAAGAGGTCCAAAACTAACGTAGTTAAGAATACCAAATTGATTGCCAAGTACGTAGCAAAAGAAGAGGAACCAAACGAAGTTGAGACTGGGGAAGTTGAAACAAGGGAATCTAATCCTCATCCCTGAGTAACCCAATTCATGATTCTAGGTCTGATTCCAGATATAGAGAGTATAACTATGGATCATACTCTCTTTGAAAATTTTGATGAAGACATGCCTTCTACATCTTAATGATTTGTATTCAATATAATAATAATTGTCATTAAACCTTTCGTGATTTGTGGTATCACCTTTTTTTTACAAAAATATGTTCTTAATATATTTTGTTTTGGCGTTATATTTTCTTGTGTTATATATGGATTAGATATAAAGCATGACTTAAACAAAGCATCCTCGAGGTGCAAGGTTTGAGCCTCGCCATATAAAAATCCCTATTTTTTTAAAAAAAATTTTAATTCAATTTTAAATCCAATTTTGTAACACTTCTTTTTTACAGGTCCAAGTTTTTTAAAACCTAATTTAATTATTTGACATATAATAATGTTTATTCTGAAATTTCTTAATTTACAACATAAGATTTTTTTTCAATTAAGTGTTTCAAAACCTTCCAAAAATATAGTACTATGTAACAATTAATTTATTCAAATATGAACATGTATTTATTGAGATTTATTTTAAATACGTTTCAATAAATAGGATCCATAGCGCAAAAAAAAACAATTAATATAATCTGTGCAGCTCACGAGCTAACAGCCTTGTAACTTAAGTTACTTAACTATAGAAAAGGGACTAAGGGAGAGTAAACCAACACTACGATATCTCTTTTCTATAAGAGAAGAGGGGAAGACTTGATGTCAACCTAAAACATCCATAATACCCCTCCTCCCTTTGTTATAGAATAGATACAATACATGAAAAATTAGAAAAAATAATCTCAACTTTCGTCAATTTGTGTGGAATAATCTCAACTTTCATTTATACTGGAATAATCCAAACTTTTAGGGGCTTTCTTTTTATTCAATCCCTATAGGTCACCTTACTTTCTAATGCAGGTAAAAGTCCTACATGGATTTATTTTTTGTTTTTTATTTAAATTTTTTATTCTTTTCCTTTATTTCCTTATTAAGGACCCTTCCCTTTTTTTTTACTATTACAAATCGTGTTTCCCCCTTTCTCTTATCTTCCCCTGTTCCCCTTCTCTCTTCTACTCCCTTCTGTATTCAACTTTCTTGGTGATTAATAATGGTGAGTGGTAGGTCCTTTCAAGGTGGTTCTTGCGGTTCTTATGCAAACTCAAGGGGGGATTTTGTTATCTAACAACGAAGTGTAGTTGTGGGTTAGATGCGGTTCTTATGCAAACTCAAGGGGCAGAACGTTGGTTTGAAGTTTTATGGCTGTCCTAAATGGCCAGTGTGTCATTAAAAATAATGGAGTTGTAATTGTTTGTATTTAAGGTTTAGTAATTTGTTCCTAATTTGTTCTTAACTGAGTTAAATTATAGAATTAGGGTTTGACATAAGATCTGCTAATTATAATGTGGTTTAGGGTTGTGTGTAGGATACAAATTGCAGTTTTATGAAGTGGATCGGATTGAGCTTCGATTTCAAAAATTTGAGAAGGACACTACTATAGCCGAGTTGGAATATCGGAAGACATTGATGGAAGAAGAGTTGAAGAAAGTGCAAGGAAGGAAGGAGAAACTGGAGGGAGAAGTGAAAGAATTGAAAAGGGATGTTAGCCAGTTTAGGATTGAGCTTATGCACTGTTTAAGGGTTGAGACAGATTTCTCTAGGACTCTCATCTTTGTTTATATCTTAGTTGCCATTGTGATGGTGTATTTGAAGTAGGTAGTATTTTAGAAGTGAAAGAATTGTGTTTGTAATGGTGACCTTTTAAGGTTTATGAAATGAAATCCTTTTTTATGGAAAAGTGTTTGAATTAAGTGAGATATGCAATCATGTAATAGGAAGAAGAGTACACTAAATAAACAAGGAAAATGAAACAACCTAATCCATAGCATAGATAAGCATTCCAAAATTACACATCAATGTTTACCAAAAGACACAGCCAGACCTAATGACATAATAGTTAATGGAGCTGCATATTCAGACAAAACCACCTAGTTCTTGCTGACATAATGTCACAATTGTTTGTGCAACAAAAAAAAAACAAAAACCATAAGCACACACACAAAGTGCTACTGAGGGTGTTTGGTCAATGTGGACTGTTGACTTGGTTGGCTGCCCATAACCAAGAAATTCAAAGCAACTTGGTTCACTGATATAGTCCTACCCCGGCTGCTTCTACTCACATGGGTTGGAGCTTCCCTTGTGACCCGTGACAAGGAAAATGCATATTCAAGTTAAACACCACAAACAAATTCAACAAAATAACTCAATTAAAATTGCATAAAACACATAAATTGGTTGTGACATAACCATCTTCTACAAAAAGCACACCAACTCCCCTTGGTGGCTGTAATCTTCCCTTCCCCCTGCTACCCCTTCCTCTGCATTTCTATCTCTTTCACCCCTTCCCTGGCCTCTTCCACCAGCAAATTCACTAGCTGCAACACCAGCTTGGTGAGACTGGCCTCTCCCAGTAGCTGACTGACCCCCTTGGAGCCTATCCCCCCTTTCCCAAGCTAATTTGGTTGGGCAGACACTGAATAGTGTGGAGCAGCTGTCCATTACCCCTAGGTCAAGTTTGGTTTTGATTTGATTGTTGTTCATCACCCCTAGGTCTTCCCCTAGGCCTTTTAGCTGCAGGTTCAGGTGGCACAATTTTGCCCTTTTCAGGACATTTTCTTTTGTTGTGACCTTTCACATTACACAATGAAAATGTCATTCCCACACCAGCTTTGGTCAATACTCCAGGCTTCTTTGGGTTCTCAAAAGGGTCTTTCACCCTCTTCTTTCTAGGCCTTCCTAGCCTTATTTTGATAGATGGTGGCTGCAATTGGTATGTCACCTTGGGCCAGTACCTTTCCCCAACTAAAGGAGGAATTGAGCCTGGTAAAAAGCACATTGCACAAAATTTAGTAGCATTCTATTATAAAATTGCATAACTATTGTACTTTGTAAAATACTACCTGCATATGCTTTCATGTACCTTTCTTTTGTGTAAAACTGGTGCACAAAGTCTTTAGCTTCACTGCTCAGAAAGAAAATTCAAGCAACTGTATGCTTGCAGAAAATGCCTAACATATCCTAGTTTCTGCAAGTACATATCATTGTCTCCAAATTCACAACTACCTCATCTGTGAAACATGTAACATTGAAATGTTGCATTGTTAATAGGAGCACCTCACACATAGCAGATTTATATTTCTCTTGATTGAGCTTGGGTTGAATCCTTGGGCATTGAACAGATGTGCACTTCTCTATCAGTTGCTTTTTTTTAACCATTCTGTGCATCAGGTTAAATCTAATATCCTCAAGCATGTGTAGAAGATGCTTGGTTCTTGCATTTATAATATAGCCATTGAGGGTTTCAGCTATGTTGATGGTTATTGCATCTGTCTTGATGTCTGTGCTAATAAGGAATGCTCTACAAAAATGTTGTGGGTTGTAAGCTTTAAAAGCCAATACAGCTTCAACATTGATCTCATTCAACTTAGCAAGTGCTTCATCATAATCAACCCTATTATAACACTTTGCAATCTTTTAATTTGGAGTTTGCATTCATCTCCCCTATAGGATTTAGACCAGTTGGCATACACATGCCTAGCACAGCGTCTATGTTCTACTTGAGGCAAAACTAAAGGCACACCACTTAGGATAGCCTGCATAATAATCAACAACACCATAAACAACTAACCATACAAAGTTACTATGCCAACTACATAACAAACAAACTAATGATGCCTGATTCTCATCAATGAGGATTGATAGGCATGTACCATCACCAAGCTCCAAAGATGCCTAGCTCCAAAGCTGCCTGCAGATGCTTCAAAAACCATTCCCAACTTAAGCTATTCTCCCCTTTAGTTACAGCCCAATCCACAAGGAACATCTGATCATTTGAGTCACTCCCAACAGCACAAAGGAGTTGTCCACCCAAAGAGTTCTTAAGGAAACAACCATCAACAACTAACACTTTTCTGCATCCTTCAATCCATCCCCTAGCCAAGCCCTCAAAACAAATAAACAGTCTCTCAAATATTAGAAGGGGTTGTTTTGGCATCACAGTAACTAACTCAGAATCAGTACCAGGGTTGCAACACTCAAGGGCAGCCAAATAACCCCCAACGTTCTAGTAATGCTCATACATTGAGCCATGCAAAAGCTTGTAAGCCGCATATGTCACTTTGTATGCAAACTGCCTAGTGACAATGACCTTGAATGCTCTTTTAATGCAATCAACAATTTCCTTAGCAAGTCAATGTGGTCTGGTTTTGAACACATCAAGGAATTGTTGTGCTACCCAATTATCCTTCAGTTGTCTATTCTTTTTCATAGTCCTATTGCTAGTGTGCTTACCACAAACCCTTTTCACTATGTAAGAAGCTTTCCTAGAGTGTCCTGAACCATTTATGTAAAAAAGACAGTCACCACTACACTTTACTCCTAAACTTTGCTACCTATTCTTGTTACCAACATTGAAGGTTAGATTTTTCCCCTAAACTACAGTATACTTAGTGTAGACACCCAAATGTGTCTCCCCAAAACCAAACCCAATGATGAATACCTTTTATGTCATTTGATTATCAAACATAACGAAAGTGTGAAAAGTCTAGTGATGAGGATGTTTTTAATTAAAATATCTCTTCTTTCTATTTTTGAAAATATTTCTTTTTCTTACCCTATTTTTGAAAAATGAGCATTCTATTTTATTTTGGTCCATGATAAGAGTCCAATAATGGTGTAGTTGGATAGGGATTGAAAAGAACTTTCCAATGATATATTATAAGCCCAATTCCGATGAATAATGAGGAAGTTATGGCCAAATTACTAAACTGGGCTCAAACCGGATTTTACATACGGCCCAATGATCTAGAGGAGGGCCTATTATTAATTATCATTCCTAAATCTATTATGATTCATTATAGTCTTCTAGAATATTCTAGAGGGTTCTCTTAAATCCTAATGGAGTTAGGATTGATAATTATGTTTCAAAGAGTTTGAAGTTGAATAAAACTACTCCTTTTAAGAATCCTTGTTTTGTACGAAGTGAAATATATTCAAATTTTATTTTTGTGCCTCATAATCTTTATCCAAATTTTATATGATTGGATAGATCTTGAAATTACCTTTCCAATGATATATTATAATATTAAATCCTAGCTATAATGAAAAAGATATGAATGGAATATGAAACTCTATCCAAAACTGAAACTCTTCCACTATTTCGGTTATATCTTTTTATCTACAAAATATTAATATCTGATTGTAATTGTGTTATAAATTAAACTTCAAGAGCTTTCCAACGACATATTATATGACTTATTTGGACTTTTGGATCAAAAGATATGATAAAAACAAAATCCGCAAAAACTGTCTTGCAGCACCGGATGACAGGCCTAGCATCTGGCGACAGCTACAGCGTCTGGCGACAGCTCCAGCATCTGGCGACAGGCGCGTGTTTGGCGTTGCGGTCGTGTTTTATTTTTTTCGAAACTCTGATTCATTTTTTATCATATCCGGCTGATTATAAATAACCTCCTTAGACCTCCGTTTTCAATCATCAATCAATTCTCATCAATTCTTCTCATCAACTCTCATCAAGAATTTCTTGATTCTCTCTCTCTTTCTAAACCAACCCTTTTACAAACACAATTCCTCATACATTAGCACTAGACACACCTATCATAATTCAAAGTTGCCTTCTCCCTAGACGTGAAAGGTTTTAATTTCTAATCAGGGTTTGGTCCCTAATTCCTTATTTCAATTATTTAATTTAATTGTTTGATTATTATTTTCCTTGAAGTTACTAACGCGTGTATTTTGTTATTAGAAAGAGGTACGAGGCATCCAAGTAAGTGCTTTAATAGTTTTCATTGTTATTATGATATAGAAATCATGTCTAGGTTATTATTTTGATTCCTAGTATTATGTCTAGGTTGTTATGATTCCTAGTATCATGTTTAGGGTAATAACTATAATTTCTAATATCAAATATGACAATTGTGATTTCTGCGATGCTTCCTATGTTCTTCCTAATATATTTATGTTAGTATCATGTTAGGGCTAAAGCTTTGATTTTTATTGCTTAGTGACATGCTAGGGTTTGTTATTAATCTTGTTAGTATCATGCCTAGGATCTTGAGATTATTATTATTCTTTAACATGATTATAATTGATATGATTATGATTATGATTATGATTATGATTATGATTATGATTATGATTATGATTATTATTATTATTATTATTATTATTATTATTATTATTATTATTATTAATATTATTATTATTATTATTATTATTATTATTATTATTATTATTATTATTATTATTATGCTGCTTGATTACATCTATTGTTATTGCTTGATCACACCTTTTATGCATGTTTAAAGGGAATTGGTACTTGTAATCACGCTAGATAATTAATAATCTTGTTTAGGGTTAATATGATTATAATTCAAGTGATCGCCAATAATAGTTTTATTTGTGCATTAATATTCAACCAACATAGATAAACAGGTTTAGAGTTAATCCTAATGATTGCATGTTAGTTAGAAAGCGCACATGAATACGATCAGAATAAAGTAGAGACCTATTATTAGGGCAGGTTCAATCTCTTTTAGGTTGGATTTGTACTTTCATCCCCGAACTACCAGTCATGGTTCCAGACCTATCGAAGTTGACGATCTCCTGGATCGTTAAGGGGTGTAACCTTTACCTCGTGAACGGTTTACAAGTTCCTAAAACTTGTTGGCGACTCTTTTACTCTAGCTTCCCTCCCTTTGGACGCCACCGTACTTTAGTGTATGATCACAGTGGGGTTCAAGTTTTGGGTTATGCTTGAAATATTCCCTACACTTAGTTACAACTTATTTGAAATCCTCTCTCTTTAAAAACCTTAATCCAACTTTTCCATTTGAAATGAGAAAAATCAGAATCTTGGCTCACCAAAAGAGCATTTTTCCTCCTCCTTCTCAAATCATTAGCATCTTCATCACTACCTGTTGGTGAAAATGCTTCATCCTCACTCTCTTCATATTCAATCAAACTAGGGGCCCCTTGATCTTCAGTTAAAGTGCCTGGAACCTCTTCATCTGTAGCCTTCCCCTTAGCAGCCTCTGTAGGCGTTGTTTAAAGTGTGCCTACATTAAGCATGTGTGTATATGCTTGGCACTCATAGGAAGTGAGAATTGATGTATACAATTAGGGACAAATAGAGTAGGAAGCCGCCAACAAGTTTTTAAGGAACTTGTAAACCATTCACAGATCATAAAAGGCAACCACGAATAAAGGGACAACGATAGGAAACAACGATTGACCCGTGAAGGTTACACCCCATTCATAATCCATGAGATTACTAACTCCATATGGTTCGGAACCACAAAAGGAGGATCGGGAATGATGGTACGAAGTGAGTCATCGAGTCACATTCGCCCGTATTGGCCTCTACTCGATTCTTATAGTGAAAAGTGATTCATGCGATCTCAAAGGCCAAACAAAGATTCAACTCAGTCCAAACTATTATTATGCTAAATTGGTTGAATATTAATGCAACATATAAATCTAAAATATTAGTGATCACTTGATTAAACAACAAGATTTAAAAAAAAACCTAAACTGGTCATCTAAATTATCTAATTAGTCGTGATTTTCAATTATATATTCCCTTTAACATGCAATATGGTGATCATAAAAATATAATAAAATCAACATTAATATTGGAAGCAGTTCAACAATAAATTGTTAGTCAAATCAAATAATAATAATAAACATAATCATGATACTAGAAATATTCATCACTACTAGAAAACAGGCTAATTTCGCCCGAAAATTTCCGTCGGAAACACCATGAATTTCGTCGGAAATCCCGTTTCCGACGGAATTCCGTCGAAAATGGTTGTCGGAAAAAGGTTTGTAGGAAAAACGACCTTTTCCGACATAATTTCCGTCGGAAACACTTTTCCGACGGAAAATTCCGTCGTTACCAAATTTTCAGGTACCGGAGGATTTCGTCGTAAATTTCCGACGAATCCAGAATCCGTCGAAAATTTCCGTCGGAAATTTCTTTTTCAAAAAAAAAAACCTGTCGCACCACCACCAATGCGGCGTATCACCACCGCAACAAACCTTAACCACCGCCACTATCCCCTATATCAGACCACCATCACCAAAAAGACCACCACCACGAACGCCATCCACCACCGAACACCAAAACCAGACCCACCTAACCCAAACGACCACCTACCCCAAAAATCCCCACAAACCCTAACTTAAACGACCCACCACCACCAAAAATCCCCACAACCCCTAACTTCAACGACCTACCACCACAACCCAAATCCACCCATAATCAAAAGCCTACCCTGGATCCACCCACTCAAACCCTTACCAAAGCATCGAAAAATTCCGACCAAAAACATAAAAAAAAAATAAAATAAATAAATAAATCCAACTCTAACCCAGATCTATCAACCACAATCAAAAATTTGTTAAAAAAATCCGAAAACTACAAATAAAATTAAAATTAAGAAAAAAAAAGACATTGAAGACACCTAAAAATGTCTCTCCAAAACCAAACTCGATGATGAACAACCTTTCACCGCCAGTATTGGTCGGTTGAGTATTTAATCTTTGGAGTGCTTAAATCCATATTCAATCCCAATACATTTCATTAACCAACCCAATTACTAGCCCATTTCCCCAAACCATAACTTATTTTCCTCTTTTCGTTCCTTTAGACCTATTATAATATCACCTGACATCGTCTCACTATTTCAGCCATATCTTTTATTCTACAAATGATTTTATTCTGATTTTAATTGGTTTAGAAGTAGACTTTAATATATTTCCAACGACATATTTTTAACTTATTAAAGTTACTGGATCAAAAGATATGATAAAAACAAAAATCGCAAAAACTGTTGTCTATCGCAAGAGTATTATTCAAATTCGAATTCTTATCTTTTCTTAATTCTTTGACCCTTCTTTTTCCTTATAAATAGAGGTCATATCACCTCTTTTTCAATCATCAACTAGATTGATCATCAAATCATTCTTTTCTCCCTCTTTAGCCTAAACACTAGCCTCCCTATTCTTCTATAATACTTCCCCTAAGCACTCCAAAGGAGTCTATACTTGACCCGAGGTTCCGTCCTTAACCAAGGCGTGAAAAGGTAGAATTAACTGAGGATTTGGAATAAATCAACTCTACTTTTTATTTAATTTAATTTTCATTTAATTTATATTTTTATTGAAGTTACTAACAGTTTATTCATGATGTAGCAATTCAAGGAAATGCGGAAAGTGAGTAATTAATCACTTAATTACTCTTATTTTTATTCTTGTTGCTAGTATCATGATTAGGTTTATTATGATTTGATTTGACTAACAAATTTATTGTTAAATTGCTTCCAATATAAATGTTTATTCTATTATATTTGTTGATCACTATATTGCATGTTTAAAGAGAATATGTAATTAAAAATCACGCCTAATAAGATAATTTGGACAACCGGTTTAGGTTCCTTTTTAATCTTATTATTAAATCAAGTGATCACAATATTTTAGAATTATGTGTTGCATTAATATTCAACCAATTTAGCTTAATAATAGTTTGGAGCAAATTGAATCTTTGTTTGCATGCCTTTGAGATCGCAGGAATCACTTTTCACTATAAGAATCGAGTAGAGGCCAATACGGGCGAATGTTACTCCATGACTCACTACGTACCATCGTTTCCAATCCTTGTTTCGTGGTTCCGAACCACATGGAGTTAGTAATCTCATGCATTATGAATGGGGTGTAACCTTCACGGGTCAATCGTTATCCCTTTATCGTGGTTGCCTTTTATGATCCATGAACGGTTTACAAGTTCCTTAAAAACTTGTTGGCGGATCCCTACTTTCCTTGTCCCTAATCGTATATGTCAATTCCCACTTCCAATGAGTGCCAAGAATATTCACAACATGCTTTTATGTAGGCGCACTTCAAACGACGCCTATAGATACATACCTTATTTTGACCTTACAAAACCACTAAATTGGGTTTACAAGGCCAAATTCAAACATGAAAACTCTAGATCTAGAGTTTTCATGGTCAAATTTGACCTAAAAACCGATTTTAAAGTGTGTTGGTGTTGTTGTTCACGTCGGTGTTCTTGTGGCGGCGGGTAGTTAGGGTCGGCGGTGGAACGAGAAAGAGAATGGGAAAAGAGAAAGAGGAGTGAGAAGCAGAACGAAGGAGAAGAAAGGAAGAGGGGAGAACGAAGATGAAGAAGAAAAGAGAATGAGCAAGGGATAATAAAGAAGAAGAAAAGAGAAGGAGAAGGGGTGAACGAAGAAGGAACAGGGGAGGACGAAGAAGAAAAGAGAAGGAGAAGGAAGAGGAGAAAAAAGACAGAGATGGAGAGAAGATGAGAGAGAAAGAGTGGCGGAAATGAGATAAGGGGGGAAGGGCTTCATTTTAGGGTTAAATGGGGAAAAATTGATTTTAATTTTTTTAAAAAAATTTCCGACGTAAAATTCCGTTGGAAATTTCCGACAGACTACTAATCCGTCGAAAAATGTAAATTACGACGGAAAATTCCGTCATAAAGCACAATTACTCCGACGGAATTTATTTCCGTCGGAAATTTCCGACGGATTTTAAAAATTCGTCGGAAATATCCGACAGAAGAAAAATCCGTCGGAAATTTTGCTTTTTCTGACAGGAAGTTTGGGTCTGTCGTAACCAATCCGTCGGAATTTGCCTGTTTTCTAGTAGTGTATTAAAATAAAATAAGTAATTAGATTAAATAATTACTCACATTTCGCGCGCTCTTTTAAATTGCTACATCATAAATAATTTGTTAGTAACTTCAATAAAATATAAATTAAATTGAAAACAATTAAATTAAAAAGTAGAGTTGATTGGTCCAAACCCTCGGTTAATTATACCTTTCACGCCTTGTTTTAAAGACAGAACCTCGGGTCAAGTATGGACTCCTTGGAGTGCTTAGGGGAAGTATTATGGAAGAATAATGTGGCTAGAGTTTAGGCTAAAGCAAGAGAGAAAGAGAGAAGAGAATGATTGTTGGTGTAGAGGGAGAGAGAATGATTTTTGGTGCCCCGAACTGTAGAAAGGATGAGGGTTTTTATAAAGAAAATGAATAGAAGGGGACACACAAAACCCTAAAAAGATAAAACCCTAGTTTTGGGGCGCCGTGACATGGCAGAGGTTGCCGCGACACAGCAAAACGTGCCATGACACTGCACATAATACCGCGTCACGGTGCAATAGCTTCCCTAAAATGATAAAACACGTGCAAGGTTTATGCGAAGAAAACACGGGAAAATCCCGTGACACGGCACTTGTACCGTGACACAGCAGAAAATGACGTGTCACGGCAAATTCCACCGTGGCACGGCACATAGCACCGTGGCACGGTGTACTGTTTTTTCCGAAATGCGTCCAAGTTCATAAACACGCGAGGGAAAGCGGAAAATACACGAAAAAAGCACTGTGACACGGTGTAGAATACCGTGTCACGTTGTAGACACCTAATTGTGTCTCCCCAAAAACCAAACCCAGTGATGAGTACCTTTCACGTCATTTGCTTATCGAATGAAGTGAAAGTGTCAAAAGTCTTGTGATGCGGTTGTTTTAATAAAAATAACTCTTCTTTCTGTTTTAAAAAATAATCTCTATTTATTGAAAATGTCCAGTCCAATTTAGTTTGGTTCATAATAAGGGTCCAATAATAGTGTAGTTGGATTGGGCTCAAAAAGAGCTTTCCAACGATATATTATAACCCCAATTCCGAATTTCCGATGAATAATGAGAAAGTTATGACTAAAGATGAAATGGTTTTATGGCCTAATGATCTAGCTAGTAGAGGGCCCATTATATTAATTAATATTCCTAAATTTATTAGGATTGATTTTAGTCTTCTATAATAATCTAGAAGGTTGTTTTAAGTTCTAATAAGATTAGGAATGATACTTATATTTTTTATGAAAATAAAGAATTCTATTTGGATTAAAACAAGTGTTTTAAAATAGATTAAATATGATTTTCAAAGATAAGTACGGGCGTTATTAATCGAATTTAATTAGATTAAGGATTCCGTACAGGTTTTTAGAAAACACGTGAATCAGCACGAAACGACAAGGCTACTGCGCAACGCAAGCCTTTCGCACAGCGACAGGGTTGTCGCATCGCGCTGGACCTCGTCGTTCTGCGACAGGAGTAGTTTTATTCCTAATAGGATTCGGTCTTTTTCTGATCGTTTTCGGGCTATTTTTCTTATTAATAGGGTCGTATTTCCCCGTTTTTATTCATTCACAATCATCAACAATATTCTATTCTCTTCTCTCTCAAGCTAGAATCTTATTCTTTCTCCCTCTTTCTAAGTCTTCCTTTTTCAAATAAAATATCGTATTCACGGGTCTTAGACACACTTAGCCAAGCTTGAAGTTGTATTCGCCCTAGACGTGAAAGAAAGAGATACGAGGCAACAAAGTAAGTTGTTTTAATTACTATATTCCTTTAGAAAGCATGTTTAAATTATTTTAATTATTCCTAGTATCATGTTAGTATGCTTTTATTGCTTTCTAGTATCATGTTTAGGTTGCTTCCTATTTCTTCTATCATGTTAGTATCATGTTAGAAATAAAGCTTTGATTTATATTGTTTAGTGACATGTTAGGATTTGTTATTACTCTTGTTAGTATCACGCCTAGGATCTTGCTAATATATTATTATGCTTTATTGAGATTGAGAATATTATGATGATGATTATTATTATTGTTGCTTGATATAGTATTGTTATTATTGCTTGATCACGCTTGCAGGATTAAAGGGAATTTGTATTTGTAATCACGCTTAATAAGATAATTAATAATCTTATTTAGGCTAATTTGATATAATTCAAGTGATTGCCAATAATAGATTTGTTTGTGCATTAATATTCAACCAATATAGATTAAACAGGTTTAGCATTAATATATTGTTTGTATGTTAGTCCGAAAGCGCACATGAATATGAAAAGAATAAAGTAGGTGACTATTTTTATGGTAGGCTCAATTTCTTTTAGGTTGAATTTGTACTTTCATCCCCGGATATCCTGTCATGGTTCCAGACTACTATGGAGTTAGCGATCTCATGGATCGTGAAGGAGTATAACCTTCACCCTGTGAACGGTTTACAAGTTTCTAAAACTTGTTGGTGTCTCTTTTACTCTAGCTTCCTTCCCTTTGGACGCCACCATGCTTAAGTTTATGATTACAGTGGGACTCAAGTGTGGGATGCTTGAAATATTCCCTACACACGGAAATATGCACCGTGCCACGTCAGCATTTTTCGCGTCGCAACATTTTAGCTGATGCGCAGTAATTCCAGTTTTTTACGCGTTTTTAAAACTACGATAATTTTTTATCCGTAACTTGAAATAAGGCATATAATATATCATTGGAAATCTTATCAAGTATAATTTCAACCAATTTGAATCAAGTCAAAATCATTTGTAAATTTTAAGATATGGCCGTTTTAGTGAAAGGGTGTCGGTTTTGGGCCAAGTTTAGTATTTTGTTCATATCTTCTTCGTTTTAAATCGGAATTGGGTTTATGATATATTGTTGGAAATATTATTGAAAGGCCTATCCAACCAAATAATAATTGGATCAAAATTATAGGGCCACAAAATATTTTCTCTCGGTTTAGTGATGTGGACACGAAAAGTGGAAAGTAAGTTATGGTTTAGGGAAATGAACTAGGAATTGAGTTG